TTGGCATTGATTGTAGAAGTTTGGAATTTCAAAGTTCATTAAGTTTGAATTGGAGGGTGATCTGTAATTTCGATATTGTTGGGCGTTTGAATTGGAGGGTGATCTGTAATTTCGATATTGTTGGGCATGATTTGAGGCCTCGACTAAGTTCGTAATGTGTTTTGGGACGTGTTGGTATATTTTGTTGAGGTCCCGAGGGTTTCGGGTGGATTCTGGAAGGTTAATGGATCGATTTTTGGGAATTAAGAATTTTTTAAGCTTAATGCTTCTGGTGTAATCGCACATGCGTAAACTTGGCCACAGGTGCGAGATCGCGGGTGCGGCGAATTGCTCGCATAAGTGAGAATGGACTGGAGTTGGGGGAGCCGCAGAAGCGGACTGGAGAAGCGCACCTGCGAGTGCGCAGGAGCGAGGCATCTGCCGCTAGTGCGTAAATGTGCGCAGATGCGCGAGAGCAGGTCGCACCTGCGATGCCCGCAGAAGCGAAAGGACTCTCGCAGGTGCGATTTCTTGGCTGGGCAGTGAGGACCGCAGGAGCGGAATTTGGACCGCACCTGTGGAGCCGCAGAAGCGGTCAGGTCACCGCATGTGCGATGAACGCTGGGCAGTGTGCTCTCTTTAAATCGAGGATTTGTCTCATTTTCACTTCATTTCGTCCATGAGAGCCGATTTTGGAGCACTTTTGGAGTGCCATATTCATTAACTATAATGGGGTAAGTGATTTCTTCACAATGTGAGTTAAATAGATGGTTTTTACATGGATTCAAGCATGAAAATTGATAGAAATTGTGGAATTTTGAAAGAAACCTAGAAATTTATATTTTTGGATTTTGATCACGAATTTGGGCATGGAATTGAAAATAAATTATATATTTGAGTTCATGAGGTTATGGGTAATGGTTATCTTCAAAAACTTTCGGAATCCAGGCACATGGGCCCGAGGGTTGCTTTATCGATTTTTCGAGCGAAGTTAACAATTGTTATAAATTGATTAATTATGAGTATTATAGTATATTTTGATTGGGTTACATCTTATTTGACTAGTTTTGGAGCGACGAGCATCGGTTTGAGGTGTTAGAGAGCCTTTACTGTACCTGATGTTATTGGACCACTAGTGAATGTCTATGTCGATCCCTCGTCACTACTCTTCCGGGGCTAGGCTAGATACTTACTGGGTACACGTTGATTACGTACTCATGCTACACTTGCTGCACATTTTTGTGCAGGTACATATGTGACTAGTGGCCTTGTGAGAGCAGAGGCGTGTATGCATGCGGGGACTTACGTGAGTTGCATTCTACATTACGACCCGCAGCTGGCAGAGTCTCCTTCAGAGTATTTATATTTCTCCTGTCCAAATTTGTATTTCATACAGATGCTGTATTTTATTTTACATTCCTAGTTGATGCTCAGGCACTTGTGACACCGGGTTTTGGGGTGGTTATGAGTTGTTCTGTATTGAAATTATTAAAAATATTATCATTTACTTTGTAAATTCCATCTTTTACTAATTAATGGAAGGAAAATATGATTTTGAAATATTAAGACGAGAACCAAAATGAGTATTTATTGTTGGCTTGCATGACAATGGTGTCCGACGCCATCACAACCTTTAATAGATTTTGGGTCGTGACAACCTCAATCCCGGTCCTCATCGATACTTGAGAATGGGGCTTTGCTGGCCTGACGCACAAGCTTTATCAGCCCCTGGAAGATTCGAGGACTGCATAAGCGGAGTAGATGATCAATGGTGAACGAGCACCCATCGATTTTGTTCACAAAAAACTGGAGGAGGATCACGATCCTCTAGAGTAATGGGTGAATCTGGCCTAGGCACACGTTGTACCTCTTGCAGAAATCTAAAATGACCGGGTCTACCAGGCCCAATGTAAAGGAATAAGTGTAAATACTTAGATATCCCTCGACATAGGTGGTAATGGCCTCTTCGGGGTCGGGGACTACTATGTCTTTATCAGCCCAGTTGTAGTCTTTTCAGATCGTAGGGAGGACCTCTTCGGTAATCGAGCAAATGTATATCGAGACCTCCTCACACCGACCCTGTACGGAGGAAGGCTTTTCAACCTTGAAATCATCATTGACCGAGCATCCCCCGGGGATGAACATTTTCAAGCGGGGTTCGGGTACTGGTCCATCAACAGCCACGCTCTAAGCGATATCCTCGGCCTCAGCAGCCGACCGCGAAGTAGAAGGAGCTTCTTTTTGGGAAACAGTTTTGGAAGTCTTTACCATTCCTTTAGAAAGTAAAAATGGAGTAAAATCTGGAAAAAATGAAGAAAGAAAGGAAGTTAAAGGATTAGATTTGTGGCTTGAGAAGAAGATAGGTAAAAATTCTTGCAAAGGACCTCGAGTAACCGGGGTAAAAGTGCTAAAGAGTATTGAAATCCTGAGGGTACAAGGGTAAAGGTTTGATGTAAAGTAAAAATGAACAAAGGAGGGGGTATTTATAGTAGTTCAGCGACGTTTCACATTCAGGGACGGTCGACTGGTGGTTGACATGCATTTAATGCCATTATGACTTGACTGGCGAGACGTTTCGAATATTTTGTCGTTTCTGTTATGATGTGTCAAAGTAAGAATCGAAAGCTCATATCGTTTATTGTTGTTTACTCTCCGAGAAACGAGGGGACTATCTGTATACGGGTGAAATCGAGCTCATGGTGCATCTCGGCCTCCGACAAGATAAGCCAGGCTCGAGACATGGTGGCAAGGGACCGAAATCGAGCCAAAGGTCCCACCGAGCCAGAATACGGGGGCATGATACCTGCCCTCGAGAATGTCGAGGTAATCATTTCGGAATTGGTCCTAGCCTCGAACGACTTCGAAGAATATTGTTGGACAATCAAGCATAGCCAACAGAAGGCCGAAATATCTGTGACTGATCGGATATCACGGCGGGGATCTCGACACGTATCGATAAGGAACCGATAGTCAGTTAATCAGAAGTTTTTTTTTACCTTTTATAGAGTTGTACCTAAAGTATGATTCCCCTACTATATAAAGGGGGTCTGATAATTCATTAAGGACATTGTAACACGCATTTCAAAGTAATATATTATTATTTTATCTATTATTAGCTCTCTCTCTCTCTCTCTTGTTCACTAGTGCTGGCCACAGCGAGCCCGGATCGAGGGTGAATATTTCACTAAGGCTGGGACTATCTTCCTCGTGTGGTTTGAATCTATTTTATCTTTGTTTGTTCAATAGTAACTTAATTTTTTGTTTTGTATCAAATTAATCCGCATATCCTTAAAACCACTTATAAATTCAATTGTTATCCGATTTTGAGGGTAAACAAGTGGTTAAATATTTGGCTTTCCTTGCTAACGTACAAAGTCAATTTAGCGTTTTAGTTGATTTTACATATTAACTTGATTTTCTATTAAGATTTCATGGGTTCTTCCATCAAATTTATTTTCTAAGTAACCAATCATAAGAAGTGATATAAATTAGCTTAGTGACAACCATTTGAGAAATTAACTCAAGATTGTGTATCTAGATTGAGAGAAAAGAGAAAAGAAAATTGAAACAAGAGAGAACAATTAAGCATTTGGAAATAGATTTGGTTGAAACCGGAAAAAAAGATGTTTTGAAGATGAAATGAAAAATGATTTTTTGAAGTTGAAATTGTGTTTGTACATGTATTTTACTTGAAAAGAAGTTGCAATTTTGTGAGGAAAAAACTTAAAAACTAGTCTAAATCACTTTTGAAACTTGAAAAATTCATCTTCAAAAACTGCCCCAACACCGATCACTTTTTATAACCAAACAATATTTTCAATCTTTAAGTGAAAAAAACTTATGGCCAAATCCGATAGTTAGACCAGATGATCATCTCAGTGTTTATACAATTTTCAATTTGCTCTTTTTATTTATTAATTTGAATATTCTCATTGACTCTAGCTACATGGTCAATACAAAAATAAAAAAAGAAATCAATAAGAATTCATGACACCAGCAATTTCTCTTTAAAGAGATAGCGGTCTGTACTGATCCCCTCTTCATCTCATAGAAATAGGAATACATAGCGCATGCATTGCATTTTGCGAGCTGTCTTTTATTTGTCACTTTCCTCCTCTTAATTTATGGTCTTCTCTTTTCCTCATTCTCTTAGCTACCTGTTTTCGGCATTCAATTGTCCTTTCCTTCCCTCCTCACTTTTATTTTTAGATTTAACCATATGATATCCGGAATTCACTGATTCGACTAATTCAAATTCAAATTTCGTAGGTCCATTTAAGGAAAAATAATTTCCTACCAAATATTTTTCTATTCTTAGAACTCGAACCAACATTTTGGTTAAGGGTGAAAGGATTATTCCATCCACCACAATATCATATATATATATACCTACAATCAAAAATAAGTATCGTTCAAAATTTTCATATATCGATTAAACTTAAATTATAAGGGTACTTTGATCAAATTAAATATAATTACCCCCATTTAATCTAGTAAATGGAAATAAACATGGAAAGGATTCTTAGAAATTGTATATATAGGTCATTTTATTGAAGAAAAGGTAGATTTAAAAATAATAATTAATGCATTCTTGATTTTCTAAAACTACAATTATTGTAGACCATATTAGTTTCGCTCAGAGGAGGATCTAAAATTTCTAGAACATGGGTGCACTATTTAGAAAGGAAGAAAAAAGTGTTAAGTGGCTAACATGACATTTGAAATGGACGAGAGGGAGCACAATATTCTTTCCATATCATTTTATATGACAATGTTTGACTACATAAGAATAAAAGAAAGACTTTTGCTATATACTAAAACAACCTGAGAACTTGTGATCTTAAATTTATAATGATATTTCAGTGATTGTAAAATTTTGGTTAAAATGAGAAGGTTAAATTAAAGTGCTTAAAATATATCTTTTTAGAATAGACTAAAAAGAAAAAAGTCATATAAAATGGGATAGAGACAAGTGTATGATCTTCTTCTATATATATGGCTTACTAGAGAGAGAAAAAGAGAGAGGAGAGACTAAAGAGAAGGAAATGGCAAGAGATGTAAGGCAAGTGGTTGCTGGTTTACTAACAGGTTCTATGCTTATGATGCTTTGCAATATGGTTAAAAGAGACCATTTTGATCCACTTGTTGTGGTAAGAATTAAACCCTAGTTTGATTAATCTCTCCTTTAATTTGTGTTCTTCCCTTCCGTTTAATTATCTTTACAACTTCTCCATTTATACTTAGTATTAGTTAGTGATTTTCAAGCTATATATAAAGTCGAACTAGATGATTAAAAAGAAGCCATTCAATCTTGAACCCTTTTTTGGAGGTGAATATAACTTTATACTTGCAAATGAGAATTTTTTGAACGTATGTTTTTAGCAAGAAAAACAGAATTTAATTCGTAAAACTGGGGTTTTAAGTATGTTTTAAAAATCCAAATGTAAATGAAATAACAAGGAGTGGGGAGACACAACGAGAGGAACAAGAAGATTAGATTCATCAGAAGAAGAAGAGGAAGAGAGGAGGAGACTATATGACTTTTCTTTTCTTCTTATTTTTTAATTTTTTAATTTTTATTTTTTGACTATATGACCACTGCTTTTACAGTTAACCGTTAGAAATTGTGCATCAATTAGTCGGCAAACTAGGTTTTATGAGGTTAGCATTGCCTTCTGAAAAAGTAAAGATGACTATGGTTGAGTCTCGCATAAGAAAAAGAAAATAAAAAGGAGAAAAACAAAAACTAAATTAATATTTGCCTATTGCACTATTTTTGGGTAAAATTGATAAGTTTTTATGAACATGGTTTACTACGTATTTTTTAGAATACAATCTTGCTCTATGAGGTATATAGTCTCTTTTATTCAGTTGGGAGTTTTTGGAGGGAATGAACCGAGGGTCTATCGAAAACAACTCATCTACCCCAGAGTAGGGATAAGGTCTGCATACAAACTACCCTCCCCAAACCCCACTAATGGGATTATACTGTATTGTTGTTGTTGTTGTATTCCGTCATTAAGGTCAAACCTTTTTATTATTAGGTAACTTGATTAACTAAATTTGAAAATGATATAAATAGAAGAATTTTAGAGTAGTTTTTATTTGATATGGCACATGAAAAGTCCCAACACATGGTTCTATACTTGTGATATATAGTACTATAGTTTAACGTAGTAGACTTGTTTTAGAGTATATCTAACGCTATCTTTAAGAAATAGTACCTGGTTTCATTTCCCTGAGCAGTTTAACTTCGTGACGTTTTCTAATTCATGAAAACTCTCAACTTTATCTTTTCTTTTTCCTTTCAAAAGGCCAAAGTTTCTGAAAAATTGTAGGGACTCAAACAAAGAAATCAAAAGAAATTTGGTAACTTCTTTCAGACGCTCAATTATGAAGAGGAAAGTACAAGAAAGATTCACAAAAATAAGAAAAAGGATATGAAGAATTAGGTGCATTATAAGTCATTGCACTTAATTAATTTAATATGATCCAATAATTTAGTTTTATTATTCCAATTATCCGGTAACTACATGATAATTTACAAGAAAGGTGGCAGGATTCGAACTGCACCTTCTTAATTATCATTAACTAAATACATAGATTTATCATATATGTAGTGATGACATATATAAGTGATTTTTTCACATTATCGGTGCAATTTAATCTGCCGTAGAAAGTTAGTTGTTTTATTTTTAAATTATTGATTTTACTGATTATGAATAGTCATCTTTAAAATGAGCTGACAATGTATAAAGAGTATATAGAAGTTAAACCTTGCTGTATTCCTTTGATCTTGACGTATATTTAGATATAGTTTAACTTATGTACAATGAAGATACTTTTACACTATCACGTTACTCAAAAGAAGTATAATGGTAACGGTCTATAAAAATTAAAATTTATAATCTTGAATATAAGGCAAGTTGCCTACTATAAAAAAGTAAAGATGATCAGTATAAAAAATGTTAGACCATGGATAGATATTAATTAGTTAAACTCATTCAAATATTCGTATGACAAGAGTTAATTGAGCTATGTTTCGTTCTCTTTTATCCAAATGACTTTATGTTATTCCATAATTGTTTTTTGTAGGAAAATCTATCTGTCCAATATGATGTGATTAAAGTTTCGAAGCAAAGCCTTATTAAACTGTCAGATACAAGTAGAGGATCACTTCTGATGGAAAATCATTCCCTCAAACCTTGCTGGAGGAAGCCATTGACAAGTAAGTTCACGTTACTTTGCACCAAAAGGAAAAGAGAAATTAATCTAAATATCCGCTCACTCAATAAAATAACAAGTATATATATATATATAATATATGTATAAGTAGTATATAGTTTATTTATATTGGTTAGAGATTATAAATATTTTTTACCGAGCGGTCAAATGTATAACTTTGCTGGAAAAAGCGAAATCAACTAAAGCAAGAAATAAAAAGAAAAATAACCCTAAAGTTGAACAGATAGAATTTATCACATTGATGTTTACACTAAACTTATAATAACATGACATGTGTCTTCTATATACACTTTTATTATTTTAACATGGTTAGTTAATATATATTTTCACATCAATTTATTACTTAACCATAGTAAAAAAAACTTTCACTGTTTGAATGAGTGAAAGTTATCCAAAATCACAGTTTTCTTTCAATTTTAACTTGTTTTTTGTTCTTTGTGATTTTTCAGTAAATGAAGAGCAATCTAAAGGCTACATCTTCTTCACTCTTACAGAAAGCTTAGAAGATCATGTGTCACAAGTAACTTCAATTTTCTTTATTTTCAGTTCTTTTTTTCTGTTGTTTCTTTCTTTTTTTCAGTTGTGAAAGTTATATCCTGTTTGGTTAAGCTGCAAAAATCAGCTTATTTTGATAAGCGTTTTTTTTCACTTTTGATGAGAAACAGTTTTTGTTTAACTAATTAATTTAAAAAGCACTTTTGAGCAGCAATTAGTGTTTGCAAGCTTTAAAAAACTGCTTCTAAATATATTTTCTTTTAGATAAAAGCTATTTTTTTTCTACTTTTCCAAAATTGCTTCTGCTTCTTCTCAAAAACACTTTTTTCCTTTCAAAAGTTTGGTCAAACACTTTAATTTTAGAAAAAACAAACACTTTTGACCAGAAAAACACATTTTTAACTCAAAAGAAGCTTAGCAAAACAGGTAAGTCTACAAGGTTATACCATTTTAGACATCAAATTAAAAAACTAATCACAAAGAACAAAAATAAGGAAGAAGCTTCTTTTAAAATTTTAAAAAAAAAAACTTATAACGGGGAAGGGGATTTGCACACCTGTCAAGGCAAAGGGAAGCCACGAGTCAACTTGCTGGCATTATTTTTGTTTTTCTTTCGTAAAGAAGCGAACAATTTTTATATGACTGTAATCTTGTCGGACACAAAATTTAATAAAAATTTCTAAAAATAAGATCTTAAATATGTTATAAAATCTGTACGAGTATAATATTTTTGAAACTTATGATAAAAAATAATATAATATTTATGCGCCTGTAAAAATTTGACATTAAGGGTAAAAATAAGAAGTTCAAATTAATTCAAATTTAGAAAAATATCAATTTTTTTCACAAATAAAAAAATCGTGTCATTTCTTTTTTCACCGGACGTATTTACTTCACATTGCTTATATCGTAAATAAAATTTTACTCCATTACTATAATTTAAATTACTATAAAACGTAATTTGCCCAACTTTTGAGTTTATTTAATTCACTTATTAATTCAAGGAAGGTTATCTCGAATGAGTAATACGAATCAATAGTAATGAGCAGATGCTTTTTATTTTAATTTTTTTTTTACATCATATTTTCTACGCCTATAGTTGTATTTACATATCGAATATACATCTCAGATTGCTGATGCAGTGGTTGTGGCCAGATACCTCGGAGCAACTCTAGTCCTTCCTGAAATAAGAGGAACCAAAACAGGACACAAGAGGTAAATTAGTCGTTTATTTTCAGTTTTCTTGGATTATTATTTAGAAGAGGGTTGTTACACAAATAGCCGGTCAGATTTACTGTTTACTTTTTCTAGCCGGTAAATATAGATTATATATTTATTATACACATATTATACATGAATTATACATATTATTATACATCCTCCTGCTATTTTTAGTTTAAGCAATTAGGTAGACGGCTATTTGGGTTAATTCTTCTTTATATATATTTACTTATTTAGCGACTCAACAACGAAAAGAAAAAAAGGAAAAAAATTATTTAATAAGGTAGATGTAGAATTTTATAAATTGACTAATTTTTTTTTGTTAATAAAATGAGTATGAAAATAGTACAAAATTGAAAGGAAAATTCATTTAAGAATAATGAAGAATTTCTTAAAGAATCTTTCTCAAGCTCTAGTCTTGGTTGAAAGGCATATATGCATTTTTTTTTCTTTTGAGTCATAAGCCATAACTTAAATTATTTATTTAATGTCATTCTTCTGTTATTTGTGGTCTATATTTTGACTAACTTGACAAACATTTTTTTAGGCAATTTGGAGATATTTATGACATAAAGAGATTCATGACAAGTTTAGATGGCATAGTTCAAATTGTAAGAGATCCACCAACGGAATCATCAAAAGTGAACATCACTAACATAAAGGTGCCAAGTATGGTGACCAAAGACTTCATTGCATCCAAAATTCAGCCAATTTTCAAAGCCAAAAGAAACTTATTTCTTTCAACTGAATTCCAATCTTCAAATTTGGCAAAGGCCAAAGAGATAGATCACAATATAAAGATGGACCCTTTTGCATGTTTAGCAATATTTGGAAGTCTTGAGTTGCAACAAGAGTTAAATCAATTGGTTAGTACAATGGTTGGGACACTAAGAAGTTTGAGCTATAAAACAAATGGACAATTTGTTGCTGTGGATTTGAAGGTTGAGGCTTTGGAAAGTATGTGCAAAGGGAATGTGATTAAAACTAAGCAATGTTATAATGCCAAAGAGATTGGTGAGTTTTTGAAGAAGATTGGTTTTCAAAGGCACACTACTATTTACTTGACTCAAAATGGATGGCATAGCAGTATTGATGCTTTGAGAGAGATCTTCCCCAATACTTTCACCAAGGTAAACTTCTCTACCTATTTACATTGGCTATATATTAAGTAACTAATAAACCTAAAAGGTTAGAATTAGTTATTTTTAAAAATGTTGATTTTCTTGTTTCTATGTCCCCATTTGACCACCAAAACTATAGTCTAGTGGTACCAAAACTTACCGTTTAGTGGTACCGACAGGAGTTTCCTGCACAATACGTGTGAGTTCAATTCTCACTGTCCCCCCTCAACCAATTCAATAGGAAAAAAGAGTTGAATGTTGTTCAATTCTCACTATCCCCCTCCCCAATTCAATAGAAAAAAATAGTTGAAAAAAGGTGACCATTTGTCCACCAAGGCTTACAGTATAGTGGTACCGATGAGATTCTCTTATACAATAAATGTCGGTTCAATTCTCACTGTCCCCCTCCGCCAATTCAATAGGGGGAAAAAGTTGAAAAAAGGTGACCATTTGTCCACCAAGGATTACAGTATAGTGGTACCGATGAGATTCTCTTATACAATAGGTGTCGGTTCGATTCTCACTGTCCCCCTCCCTCTATTCAATAAAAGAAAAAAAAAGTTGAAAAAGTTGACTATTTGTCCACCAATGCTTATAGTATAGTGGTATTGATCAGAGTCTCTTATACAATAGGTGTCGGTTCAATTCTTACTGTTCCATTACCCCTTACCGACTCCATCACCCGATGCAATAGGAAAAAAGAACTTGCCAATTCGATTTTGAGTATAACCTAATTATGAATATATAAGCGAATGAATATTTGAAGTAAAGGTTATATAGTTAAAATACATTAGTTTAATAATCAAAACAGGCAATCCCTTGATTTCTTGATTATTGAACAACTCTTCATCATGTCATGCACTTGCAACAGGATGCTATAATTCCAGCATATGAGAAGGCTAAATACCAGATAACCAAAAGTCCTGAATTCGAGAAAGTTATCGACTTCCAAATATGTACACAAGCTGATGTTTTTGTACCAACAATTTCCAATCTTTTCTACACTAATGTTGTGGCAAAAAGAATTGCCTTAGGAAAGACAGAGGTACTTGTTCCAACAAAAAAAGTTTCTACTTCATCTGCTGCAATGGAGTATGTATCTCCCTACATTTCCAAGAAATCGCACTGGGCTTATTCTTGCTTCTGTTGATCAGTCATGTTATAAGTGTAAGAAAATTGTATCTGGTTTTGTTTAAAGTCAACATGTGAGAGAATTGTAGATTAATTAGTCTAGTCCAACAGAAATAATAAGATGTATGTTGTAGCTTTCAGAAGTATGTTTAGCAATTGTAAATCTTGTAGTTTTGAATGTCTTGTTTACCTATTAATGGGACTCCTTGTGTTAGTTTTTCTATTTTTATACTTTAATTAGTTGATTCAAATTGTAGTTTCTACATTGTTTGACGTGTTCTGAATTGTAGATATTGAGGAGTATCCTCTATTAGCTGATTTCTTGAGCCAGTGGAACTATCACTAGATAAGCAAAATGATTGTAAGATTAATTTTATGAATGATCACTGAACTTTATTCATTATAAATAAAAAATCATAAAATTATTTGTTTTTCTTGAAACAATTCACACATAGTTTAATTACATTACTGTGACAAAAATAATTTTGTAATTGTACATTATAGGAATGTTTAATATTGTGAATTGTGATAAATGGAGCCAAGAAATTTAGAAATGTCTCCATATTCGGCTTATTAAAGAGTCCTTGGATTACAAAGTTGGACTGTGCCAATAGATGAAGAAATTCTGGTACGTAAACCAGCTATATCCTAGTACTGTTTGCTGTAGTATAATATACGTAAAAAAAATATAATTTTCTCCGTCATTTATATGGCAGTATTGTTGTCTAGGAGGTCAAAACTTATTTCTTTGCCTACAATTCTGATAGATGTAGTAATATGAGATTTGAATTTTGGGTCAAAAGAAAATGCGAGGAAAATAGGCCAAGTGCACAAATACCTGATTTTAGGGCCACTGTTTGAGCTGTATCCAAAGTTGAATTTTTTTTAATTTAAATTTACCCACTTTACAACACACTTCAGAATTTGCATGTGTTCACTTTAGAATTCGAATTTGAAGTTACAAATTTAGGATTCTGAATCGGATATGAAATTTTTCTATCGTTTCAAATGCAATTTCAATCGGATCTGAAGTTTTCAATCGTTTCAAAGTGCAAATACAGAATCGGATATGAAGTTCTTATCACTTCAAAGTGCAACTTTAGAATTGGCATCTAAAGTTCTTATCGCTTCAAAGCGCAACGTCAGTATCGGATATGAAGTTCTTCTATTGCAAAGCGCAAACTTCAAAATCAGGATATGAAGTTGGTGGACACAGCTTGGTGGTCCAGTTTGGCTTTGGAGATGGACAATGGTATTTTCAGATGTTTTCACGATGGAACTCGCAACTGGTTTCAGATGGTTTTCATGGTGTTTAATGGTTCGATTTTGGTTCACAAAATTAGGTACCACTTAAATATTTTAGAAAAAGTGGACACAAATTAAATAGTAGCGACCAAATTGGACATGAAATTTTTACCAAGAAAACATAACAGAGTGGTATTAGCTTTTTGTGGGCCTTCTTGTCCGAGTTTGTTAGCTTCTTGGGCTATAATAGCCCATATTCATTTGTTCAAGCCCAAGCTTTTTCCCTTTTTGGTTTCTTTGGAGTGTTTCTTTCTATTTTGCCGTAAAATAGTGAAAAATGATACTGTATAGCCGCTGTAAAAATAATAGCCGAAAAATATATAAAATTTATATATTTTTTTGTATATATATATTTATATATATTGTATGTTATATACAAAAATTATATAAATTTTATACACTATTTCGGCCAACAGATATAAATAGTTTCTATCGTGGGCTAAAAGTGATAATACCCCTGGAATAGTTGTTGCCCATACTAAATTTCTCTATGTTTCCGTTTTATATTGTAGGTCCATTCTCCAAAGGGAAAAGTGTAGCCGTTTGTTTTGAAAATTTGAAATTTTAACTTTAACGCAAACCTAGTTTTCAATTTTCATAGAGAAAATTAAAGTAAAATATCCTGTCGTACATAACTTCTTACAATTTTCAAAGGACCAAATACACTTTCATTTCCCTGGTTAAAAAAACAGAAGGGGAGTATCATAATTCATAGGGACTTTTTAACTAGACCTGGTAACATTACACTAAATCTGCCCTTGGGGTCAAGTTTACGATGAATCGTAACACAAATTATACTCTGAAAAAGCATCCAAGACAGACGCAAAATTAAGAAAAACATATGTCTTTCTAGAATATATAAATGACGAGAAAAATGTGAAACTTAACAAATATTAAGTATATTATGTCCATTCCATCACTTTAGAATATAATGCAAATACCAAATTATTCGGGATCTAATGAATCAAAATACGAAGAAAATTAAAGGCTTAATACAATTCAGTGACGGCCTTAACTAGACGCGGCAAGTTCGACAAAATTCATTGCATTTGTTCAGACATTTTTTGTGTGTTGATGTAAGAAAAATTAAGGAAAAAGTGTGGAAAATAGAAGTAAAGAGAGAGGAAAATAAAGGGAAAGAAAAGAAATCTCATAGACGAAGTTTCCTTTTCTTTTACTTTTAAATATCATTATTTGGTTTGAAAAGAAACTGCAAAAGTGAGGAAATTGTCATCTCTTTTTCGTTAATCAATGTATCCAAAGATTTTCATATGTACCGGTAAGTAAGGGAATATTTTTTTCTTTACAAACTTTATTGTTGACAAGTATGCATATGATTTGAACCTTATGGGTTCTGGTATTTGGGCAAAAGTGATACTTTAAGCAAGTGAAAGTTTTTTTAATGTTGGCTGGTCAGATTTTAAAAGAAAAAAAGAAACAAAAAAATGGGTGTTGTTTGGTGAAAAAAACAAAAGTGACATTTATAAGTGTTCAAAGGGATTCGAACCCCCGCCAACATAACTTAAGTTGGTTCCTTCGTTTGCCACTCGACCAACACCTAATTTTGCTTTTGGGTTCCAAACTAAAACTAAAAATACTTATATGAATAAATTTATCAATACAAATACAAGATTTGGGTAAAAGTTATTGGGTTCCCGGGAACCCAGGGGCGGATCTACCTTATGAGGTAGGGGTACCACGGCACCCGCTCGCTTCGCTAAAATTCTTACTATGTACATAATATCTCTGTGAAGAAACGTATATATGGATAGAGTAGCACCCAAAAGTCACAAAGTGAAAGCGGGTGCCATTGGTTCAGCCTTCCCTTTGAAGGCTTTTTTTGGCCTCATGAATGCAAGTTCGATTCCTTGTTGGAGCAGCTCCTTTGATTTTTCATTTTTTCTACTTATTAAGATTTCCTTTATTTTCAGTTGAGCCCTAAGGCCTCACCTCTTTTCCTTCTTTTTCGGCTCTTTCCCTCGTTTTCTTCCTTTTATTACTTGCTAAGTCTCTCTTCTTTATTTTTTTAACTTTCAGTCCTCATTTTGTTTCTATCATTATACCTTACTTTATGAACAATTATTTTTTATAGGTAATTTGAATTGATTTTAATTAGCATATAATTTTTTATTTTATTTTTAATGAAATGATATTAATTTATATATTGGGATATAATTTTAGCAATATCTCCTATTGGGTTTTGAAAAAAAATTAAATGGCTTGATTGATAGTCGTTTTGAGTCGAATATCATAGGTTGAATGTTGAAGGTTTTTCTTTGAAAATAATTGTCATATAACTCAACAATTAAGATGAAAAAATAAACAAAGAACAATACAAGTAAATTAATCTAGTCAAACAAAGAATATATAGTGTAGTTAAACTACTCTTTAAGCAAATATTTATGTTGGAGGCGCTCTTTCATGAAATGTTATTTTTCTTTTGTATTTTTATTTATAATGTGTTTAAATTAAGCGTTAAAAATTTAAACTAAAATAACTTATTTGCTTTGTGAATGAAAGGCCTATTCAAATTAACCAAAAACTAAACGAACCGACACATTATTCCTAATCTGTCTTTGTAGCTACTGACATGTATACTGTATGCATAACATGGTGGCACCCGCAACTTTCGAATCCTGGACCCGCCTCTGCGGGAACTCACACCCGATACTGTGGATCCGCCCCTGCAAGTATGTACTCTTATTAAAACTCCACAACACGTTGTGGAGGTACATATTGATATCGTCAAATAATAAGAAGAAGATTTTATGAATTACTATCGAGGATTGTGATATGATATATTGGATCCCTCCCTCCTTAGAATTTTGGATTAGAACCTTGAAAATGAACAAATAATCTTGTAAGAAGCGCTTCCCTATGACGAACCTTACGCGATGCAAAACCAGATTAGTCGGGGTTTTAATGGAGATAGGAATATTAGATACTAAGTGGGAAACAAAAAAACAGTACTATCTGAATTTCTAGTTGACTTCAAAGCTACTATAAGTCCACAAGGTCATGAATGACATTAAAATTAATGCATGCATATGAATGCGTAATCAAATGTTTCTTTAAATCAAATTTCTTCAATAGTCAGTCAACTGTTCCTATTAATGCGTTCATTGGAGTAATTGACTATACAATTTAGAACAAGTCAATCTGTCAATGTACTTAAGGTTGAAAATTTTAGACAAGAGACATAGACCGGCATATTAGAGAAAATAAATATGGTTTGTGAATTTTTATTTTTATTTTTCACCACTGCCAAGTACCTGAAGTTAGTAACGAGTACTGAACAAAAAGTCAGCTCTCATTTTGAGAGAATTATAAATAGTTCATTTTAGATAAACACTGAAAATTTATGAATTAATTGGAGATTCATTACAATATATTAATACGCTTCAATATTAATATTAATATTTACAAAAAGAAGCAGCAGAGTTTGTGTTTTTGAGGACAAAAAAAATGTTAAACAGGTTGGATAAATAAGAGCAAATGATAATTGTTTTAACGTTAAAAAATAGGTTGACCAATCTTGACCAGAAAATTGTATATTTTTATTAACATTTTTATATTTTGGCTTTAAGTGCGGTTGTGGAAATATGTTAACGAACACATGGAAAAGTAAATTCTACAAATTGAAAAGAACCCAAAAAAAAAAAAAAAAAAAAAAACACCACGTTTAAAGGAAAAGATTTAGTGGGCGTTTCGGACATAAGAATTGTAAAATACCAAAATAAGGGGAAAATAATTTTTAATTAAAAATTATATTTGAAATTTAGAGTTGTGTTTGGACATGAATATAATTTTTGATTATTTTTTAAGTTTTGTGAATGATTTGAGTGAAAATTTTGAAAAACAGTTTTTAAATTTTTTTTAAATTTTTAAAAATTTTCAAAATGCATCTTCAAATAAAAACTAAAATTTTTACAAACAAACGTTAATTTTGAAAAAAAAAATTATTTTTTTTAAAAAAATCTTATGTTCAAACGGGCTCTTAGTAAAATACATGACTTGCTCAAGTCTAGCGACGACCTTCTCGAGAATAACAAAGTCTACTAGCAACTTCTAAGAAAGTACAATTTTAGTAACGATAAGTTTGCAATCCTCGATAGTAATTCATAAAGTATCGAGGAGGTACAAATTAATTTGTGGACTAGACCCATTCTAAGTCATTTGTGAACTCAATTTTAAACGTGATTATAATTGATTCATAAATATCGAACCGTACCGAATAAATTTATATGTGAAATATATATTTATACCGGATCTAATAATAGGTCCGGTATATTTACATGTAAATTTATTCGGTACGACTCGATATTTTTTCGATTTATTTTTATAAAATAAAAAATATACACTAATTATCGGTACGGTTATAAATTTATATAAAAATCTACGATTTTATTAAAAGAAACCTAAAAATCAGTTCGGCACAGTACGATTCTGTCGGTTTAGTCGGTTTTTAAATATTCATTTACACCTCTAATCATTACTAACTAAGGAAAATAGCATTATTAGACTCATTCTTTAACGGGATGATCATTAGTGGGCTCAAATTTAAACGAGGGTTATAATTGATCAATTTCGAATAACACAAAGGCATTATTCGCCCCATTCTATAACGACAAGGTCATTTGTGGACTCAAGTTTAAACGGGGGTTATAATTGATCCATTTCGAATACCACAAGGTCATTTTGGGGCATTTTCCCTATAATATATTATACTATAATTTATATTTATATAATTATTAAATAAAAATCAAATTTTAATATTTTTTAAATTTGATTGAGTTAGGATTGAGTGAGTTTGTATGATAAATTTTTCTCTCATTAAATTAAGCAATATATTTACCTTCTCATTAATTCTATTTTTGTTCCTCTAAATATAGTCTTTTTCATATTACTCACGATTTTACACTCTAATTTCAACTCACATTCTCTAAATTAGCTATTTTTTTCACTTTTGATTGATTCATACATCATAAAGTAGGTTCTTTTGTGTCTTATCCTTTTTAACTAAGAAATCCTAGAGTCAAGTATCGCAAGGTTAAGAACTTAATGAATAATATGCTCACTTCTTTATCATTTTCACTTAATACATATTTTTATATAGGGAAGAGTTCAATACCATAATGAGCGCCTAGCCCACATATCATGTGTTGCACCCTCACCACTAGACCAAAGCCATATATCGTTTTTTTTGTCTCTCGTTATTATGTGAATTTTGTAAAAGAAATTTAAGTATTTTTTAATATATTTTGATTTTAGACCACCAGTTTCATTGAGATCACATGCCCGTGTACATGTTGTTCAATCAGTTTCATGCATATTGGTAATTGAATGGCATATTCACTGCCTTTAATGTTCTTGTCATTGTTATCTTATCTTAATTGAGACTACAAAATTTGATTGAAAATGTTTTTGATGCCCCAAAAAATTTTAAAAGTGAATTTTATAATTTTATTTTAGTTTAGACAATATTAAAATTTGCAGAAAAAATAAAAAATGCAAAAAAATTGTAAAAAAAGAAAGAAAGAAATATTGCCTACTCTTTAACGGTAATTATTTTTAGAACTTTAAACTAAAATACTTAAATCTTCATATTAGTAAATACAATTCTTTACCATAATATCAAAAGCAACACATTATAAATACATGCCTAACATCTTATTTATTTAAATTACCCCTTACTATATAAATAATAATATTACTATGTGAAGTTAAAAGGTTTATATCATTTAAAAATATTATACTATAAACAACAAGTACGAAAAAAGTAGCAATGCTATAACTTGTTTTTCCATATGTGGATATATGAATTCAAATATAAAAAGGTATAAGGCCTCTAATTAAAATTTGGTTTTAAGTCACTAAATTTATAGAGCCGCCCTTAATTACTTACATATGTGACACAATTTCAACTTCAATTTTAAGATCATTGTTGTCTTATATTTGTTAAATCATATAATATCTTGTTTTCAGAATTAGGGAATATTGATTCACTCCATAGTAAAAGACAAGAAAAAATTAGATATTTACTCAAGGTTCTAGAAGAGCACGCACTTTTCTCTTACATCTAAATGAGAATTCATCAACGATAAAATAGATCTAGTTACAACTCCATCTTTTTAGGATAGCACACATAATAGGAGCTTTATGAATTAGATTGTCTTTTTTTTTAGGCAAAAGATAATCCAAAAAAAGAAACAAGAGAAAAGAACAATGAATTAAGAAAAAAAATCTTGTTTGGCAAGCAATACATCATACATTCACACTATAATTTTCAAACATGGCATTATTGAATTGTACTTGATCAACGAAAGGACATTTCACCTGTTTAATTTATATAACAGTTTTTTTGGCTTTGTAATATTCTTAAATATTCCGCAGAATTCTTAGAAATATGTAGTTATATATTTGTACAAAATCTTAAATTGTTAGATTACTTGACTAGTTAAATTTAATGCCTCATGTGTTAATCTAAATCACATTAATTTTGTACCATATTTTAATTCATTCTGTATTACTTTCTATTATAAATTATTAAACATTTAAGAATTAACTTTTCAATCTTTTTATTTTTGTAATTTGGAGCATCATCTGAAATAACGAGGAAGGACAAATAATGGTATACTACCCTCTGTTCTTCCCAAAAGCCTATAAATTTGGAATTCCATATGCTTACATATTCATTTCCATTCGTCTATTTTGGCTTTTGCCATCATCAAATAGTCTTTCAATTCTACAAATAAAGATTTAGTCCAACAAACTAAGCAACTAGATAAAGTATCAATAATTAATCCTTCCTCCTCATTACTTTATTCAGCTACATGATTAATTAATTCAAAAATTCCAAAATTTTACACTATTTATCTTGTCTCCATTTTACCAAGCCCCACCATTTCTTCTCTTCTTTCTATAGTTTCTTGGTTTTCTACTTTTTCTTCATCTTTTAACTACAACCATGTCTTCTATTTTAACTTCTCAAGGTATGGTATTAGCCACAGCCATGGCAGTTTCTGGGACCATGATCTTTTTAGCTGCTCTTAAACTTCAAAAATCTACAGATCAATTTTCTTTCAACCCAATTCTCCATCATCCTCGATCTTGCATCTCCACAGGTATGTATTATCGTCTTTTTTTAGCTATGTCTGTTTCATTTTAGATGACACTCTTTCTTTTTTATCTATTTCAAAAAAAAATTAATGTGTTTTTGTATATTTTGAATTTTTTTTAATTTTTAAAATTCTCATTATATTCTTAACGAAATACTCTCATGGCTATAGAAAATGTCATGACATGCTTTAAATTATAAGTTTTAAGGGTAGTTTTAGTATGTGCCAAAAGTCTGTGTTTCTTTATTAATTTTTTTAAATTTCATGTTCAGTTAAATACCACCTTATAAAATGATAACAAAGAAATACATGTTATAACAAATTAAAATGTACAAGCAGTGTAATTTTTTTTATATTGTTGGTGCAGATGAGTTAAATTCATATATTAAATTTTTTTTTTTTAGATGGGAAGAAGAAGGAGAAAAAGAAGAAGAGAGTGAAATTTGCAGAAGATGTGGTGGAGCCAAGTGGGAATAGTGAAGAATACAGAAAACTTCATTGTAATAATAATTTTAGCCATGAAAATGGATATGAAGCTGCTTCTTCATCTTCTTCTAATTCGGATTCAAATGCATTAAAGAAGAGTGGGAAAGTGCAAGAAATGCCAGCAAATAGAGTGGCCCTCTACAATTCTATGCTCAAGGGTCGGGTCATCAATCGGGTTACTTATTCCTATTGATCGGGTCGGGTTTTCCAATTACCCAATTCTAACCCTCTAAGTTATGTACAAAATAGAACTTCGAGTCACAATGAAAGAAAAATGGAAAAAAATTATTTATCTTTCGATGAAGTGGGGAGGAGGTACATGTGCTCATGTGTGAGAGTAGTTTTAATTAGGATTTTTTTTTTTAGTATTTGTGTAATTTTGATGTTTATTTTGGGGGGAATTTGCCAAAAGGAAGACAGTTTTTACATGTATTTGATTTGTATAGGAGGTAGTTTTTGAATACATGATGTGAATTATGACCAGACTAAGTCAAACTAAGTGGATTGATTCATTGTATATTGAATTTGCTTCAAATGGAAACGATTTTTTTTTTTGATTTGTCATTTGTACTTTTTAATTCAGTTCTAGAAAATTAGTTAAAATGGTTGAGTTCTTATTACAATAAAAGAATGTTTACGTTAACATGAACATTTCTTACAAATGCTCGTAAGCAAAAGAGACCTATCAAAAATTTATGTCCTCTCATTATCAAGGCATACAGTCTCATTGGATCGGTGAGACTATTCACACAATAATTGAGTTCAATTCTCACGATTCTTTTTTCCCATATCTCATTCGTTCATAATCCATTACTATAGAATCTAGAAAAAAATACTTGAGTATGGGTCAGAATCTATCTTAGTGGGATTTAGCGTGAAGCAGCATCGTTGAAAGCGATATGGTCGAGGTCGATTATTAGATAACGGGGCTCTTAGCCGAGTAGATCGTTGAAAACGATATGGTCGAGGTCGATTAGTAGATAACGGGGCTCTTAGCCGAGTAGTCAATAACGGCCGAGGTCGAGTATCAAGGGTAGTGCTAACAGCTAGTTTTGTAATAGAATATTCAGGAGAATATTCTATTAAATATTCAGGAGAATATTCTATTAAATATTCTTGGTGTCTATACTTTTAGGGTTGATTGGGAATGTCCCATATAAATAGAAAAATAAATAGGGGGAGAGGTATGTAATATTCTCTAATAAGAACATTCTTGGAAAAGCAAGACTTTCTCTCTAGACTAAAGACAATCACTACATTTCTAAATAGATTCGATTGTTTACTATTCCATACTTTTTCCGTTAGATCCGAGAAGGATCCCAACATTCTAGTATTTGTCTATCATTCATCATTGTCAGAAGGAGGAATCATCCACCTCATTCAATATTGGGTGAATCATTCTCCTTATTTACTTTAATGCAATTTATCGATTATTTATTGCTTGATATCCCACATCATTAATGATATATATACATTGAATGTACATCACATTTAATCTTCTCTCAATACTATTCTTGCGCTATTTATGTTAATCGATTATAGATGTGAAGTTATTATCACTAATTAGGTTTAGCCCTTCGCCATATTAAATTAATTAGTTTAATCAAAAATCTACATTTTTTGGTCAAACAATTTGGCGTCGTCGGTGGGGATTATCTAGTTAAGTTTTTAGTTTCTTCTAGATCTATAACTGGCACAGTCTATAAAAAACAAAAGCTCCTACTTCCTTGTACACACAGATCTGACATGGCAGGTAATGGAGAAGAAAAAATGAAGGCAGTGGCCGATCTCACTACCAACCTCTTAAACACCATTAATGAGGTCTCCGAAACAGAAGGCGAAGACATAACACCTAACACCTGTCCCCGGCGAAGTGGGTCGCCCCTCCCTCACGGCAGTATCACAACATCCCGTGGTAAATGAGCTTCCACGTCCATAGCGGAAGCGGCGCCACCAGGGGTGAAGAAGCTACTCGAGGCTTGACAAATACGCTGACCGGAATCCTCGACAAGCCCACTCAGGAGGCAGTCAGAGAAAATGCAAGGACTTGCATTGCACCAGCAACGGCCATGCAGCACGACCCTCCCCCTCCGGTAACAGGTATCACTCACAATATTAATAATGCAGGTAACGACACCCTCACGGCCATTCTGAGGAAAATGGAAGAAATGGAAAATAAAAACAAAATGCTTCGGGATCAAATGAGAGAACACCAAGAAAGAGTCAACAAAATACCGGGTGCCCCAAAACTCTTGCCAAAAAGAGACCCTGGTCGATTCGTTGAGCAACCCTACAGTGATGAAGCCGCCCCACATGCCATACCTAGGACCTTCAAGATGCCGCCTTATCTGAAAATTTATGACGGTACGACCGACCCCGAAAATCATGTAACTCATTATGTCACTGCGGTAAAGGGCAATGATCTCGCCAAAGAACAAGTCTCCTCCATCTTGTTGAAAAAGTTCGGCGAGATCCTTACCAGAGGAGTATTAACTTGGTATTCACAGCTGCCTGCGCGCTCCATTGAAACATTCAAAGAGATGGCCGACAAGTTTGTAACGGCCCATGCTGGGACTAAGAAGGAGGAGGCAAGAGTGAACGATATATTTGGCATCAAACAATCACCCGGAGAGGGATTTAGGGACTTTCTCGCTCGATTCAATAGAGTAAGGATGACCTTACCGAGTGTATCAGAAGGAATGGCTATAACAGCTTTCCAAAATGGGTTGAACAAGAAAGGCTCAAGGGCGATCAGAAAACTATTAAGTCGGCTTATGAAATATCTTCCAACCACTTGGGATAAAATACACAACGCCTACTATGCCGAGGTCTGTGCCGACGAAGACGACCTGAATGGGCCAACCCATCGATTGATCTCGGTGCAAGCCGAAACCAGGAAGGATCGAAGAAATGATGCCAGGAGAGATTTTGCAGCTCCACGATCCAACCGAGAAAGGCATCAGCCATATGTCAGAATCGCTATCATGCCCCCCTCCCGCCATAAAGAGGGCCCATCTAGGTCAAGGACACGGATTCACCATAACGAGAGAGGTATGCCCCATTTACTATCCACTCACAAATTTTGTGTGTCACCCTCAGAAATTGTCTATGCATTAGAGAAGCTCGGACCAAAAGTAAAGTGGCCACAAAAGTTGAGGTCAGACCCAAGCACTAGAAAATCAAACGCCCTCTGCGAGTTCCACTAAGAGCGAGGTCACAGAACTGAGTACTGCATTGCACTAAGGCAGGAGGTCGTGAACATGCTTCATCAAGGACACCTCAAATAATTGTTGAACGATCGAGGGAGGACTAACTTTTCCTAAGGACATGAATAACACCAGGGATCGCGGAAACCACCCTCACCGACTCACACCATTCAAATGATCATCGGGGGCGGCAACGACATTTCGATCAACATCGTAAAGTTCGCCACAACCCACAAGCTCAAACGGTCAATCACTTATGAACGGTATGACGAACTCAAAGAAAGTATCATCTTCGATATATCAGATACCCACGGTTTGGTTTTCCCTCACTACGATGCCTTGTTATTACATTACGAATATTAGATACAGATGTAAGATGCATTATGGTGGACGATGGGAGCGGCGCGTGCATTGTCTATCCTCGAGTACTTGCACAAATGAAACTCGAGGATAAGATAGTGTCGCGATGCATCATGCTAACAGGTTTTAACAATGCAGTTGAACGAACGTCCGGGGAAATCACACTCCCCGTCCTGGCCGGCGGCGTCACTCTAGAAACCATATTCCATATCATGGACCAGGATACGGTGTACAACGCTGTAATAGGTCGACCTTGGATACACGCCATGAGGGTTATCCCCTCCATCTTGTACCAAATTATCAAATTTCTAACCCCATGGGGAGTATTCATCATACGAGGAGAACAACGCACATCTTAAGAATGTTATCACATCGCCTTAGATTGTACATATACCCAACAAATGAATGGCAAAGCAGGGGATGCATAGCAATTAACAGGGTCGAGGTCGAGTTGTGATGAAAAAGCGGACGTCGTCAGAGATTCCGAAACAATAGATGCCATAGGATCAATCGTATAAGACCTCGAACCCGTCCAAATTGATGATAACGACCACATCAAGAAAGCCTACGTCGACCGCAAGCTCCAAGAACCAGGTAAATTCCGTCAATTCTTAATTGGTAACGTGAACTTGTTTGCTTTTTCCCAGGCAAACATGCCAGGTATCACGAAGGAGGTCGCCACACATAAGTTGAACGTCAATCTATTCTACCCCCCAGTAAGGCACGTTAGGCGAAAGTTAAATTTTGCAATAAATGATGCAGTCCGCGAGGAGGTCGAAAAATTATTAGAAAACTACTCCATCAGGGAATCAAAATACCCCCAATGGGTCGCCAATGTGGTCATGGTGAAAAAGAATAACGAAAAGTGGCGGATATGCGTAGACTTTACGGATTTAAACAAAGCATGCCCCAAAGATTCATTTCCGCTACCTCACATTGACCAGTTCATTGACGCAACGACCGGGCATGAACTGCTGAGCTTCTTGGATGCCTACTCGGGCTACAATCAGATCCTCATGGAAGAGGAGGACCAAGAGAAGACCACCTTTTTCACCCACCAAGGAAAGTACTGCTACAGGGTGATGCCATTCAGACTGGAAAATTCGGGGGCGACATACCAAAGGTTGGTGACCAAAATGTTCAAAGACCAACTCAGCAAGACCATGAAAGTCTACATAGACAATATGTTGGTCAAGTCCAAAAGGAAAGAAGATCACATCAACCACCTGAAAGAAGCCTTCGATATACTCAGGCGGTACGGAATGAAGCTGAATCCCGAAAAGTGTGCATTCGGCGTGACCTCAAGAACATTTATGGGCTTCCTAGTATCGCAAAGGGGCATTGAGGTCTATCCCGACCAAATCAAAGCCATAGAAGAAATACTAGAGCACCTAACCAACAAAAACATGTTCAGAGGTTGACCGGCCGCATTGCCGCCCTATCGATATTCATCTCACGATCATCCGATTGATGCCATAAGTTTTTCGACGTACTCAAGAAAGACAACGACCTCCAATCGACTTCCGAGTGCGTTCAAGACCTGAAGGAATTAAAGGCTTTATTTGTCGTCACTGTCGTTGCTTTCCAAAGCGGAATCGGGGGAACACCTTCTTATCTACCTCGTCGTATCTGAAGTATCGGTAAGTGCAGTCATGGTCCGAGAAGACAAAGGTACGCAATCCCCCATCTATTACATTAGTAGAACCTTAATCAACGCCGAGACGAGGTGTCCCCACCTCCAAAAATTGGCACTGTCCTTGATCGTAGCTTCACGAAATCTTAGACCCTACTTTCAGTGCCACCCCATCTCGGTAGTCACAACTTTTCCCTTGCGGAGTATATAAATCTAACTTGGGACTGGCGCAACCATATTGTTACATACTTGCAGGAAGACATACTCCCAGATGATAAAATGGAAGTCAAGAAGCTCCGGATACAAGCGGCCAGGTACAACATCATTGACAACGACCTATACAAAAGGACATATGATG